GTGGGGAGGGAACCAGCCCCTGGTAGGCTGGTGCGCCCCCCACTTGGGCCCCCCTGCGCCTAGGGTTGGAAACCCTAGGGTGGGGGGGCGCACCACTTGCCTTGGGGGGCACTCCACCCCCCTGGCCGCCGCCCCCCTTGGGAGATTCAATCTCTAGGGCCGGCGCCCCCCTGGGGGCCTATATAAAGGAGGGGGAAGGGCAGCCGCACCCTGAGTCTTGGCGCCTCGCTCCCCCTGCTACACCTCTTCCTCCTCCCGCAGTTGCTTGGCGAAGCCCTGCCAGAGTCCTGCTGCATCCACCACCACGCCGTCGTGCTGCTGGATCTTCATCAACCTCTCCTTCCCCCTTGCTGGATCAAGACGGAGGAGACGTCACACTGACCGTACGTGTGTTGAACGTAGAGGTGCCGTCCGTTCGGCGCTAGGATCTCCGGTGATAGGATCACGACGAGAACGACTCCCTCAACCCCGTTCTTTTGAACGCTTCTGCACGTGATCTACAAGGGTATGTAGATGCATCTCTCTCTCTCATTGCTAGATGAACTCATAGATTGATCTTGGTGAACATAGAATTTTTTTTATTTTATGCAACGTTCCCCAACAAGTAGCTCCTATGGTTTCTAGAGCGAGTGAATGAAACGCTATCTTCTTATGAGTGGAGATAGAGAGCTATGTCACAATCAATAAGTGAGATGATGTGGGCGAGGAATCTTCTGTCACAATAGAGGTCTTCTTTTCGAATTTAAGTGGGACTAGCTTCTTCCTCAATTGATATTACTGACAATCTAGCAATTCCATCCTTTAGAAGAAGATAAGTTAACCATTTCTTTGAATTGCATGATTGAGTGATGGATGCGGACAATCACAAGCCTACTTTATTTATAGAAAAGAGCATATAACCCCCGATTCCTACCTGTTGTAGAGAATCTATCGTCTAAACTCTTCTGTGCCATTTGCCGCCTAATACACTATTTCAGTATAATGTTGTTTGCTGGTGCATATCTCTTGATTGACTATTTATTGGTTATTAAGCATTAGTGAGCTGACCTATGTACAAGTTCTGAGTCAACCCCCAGATCTGTATCTCCTTGCCTTGTAATCTCTCATTCATCTATTTATGTGCATGCTTTAGCGAAGTCTCCAGCCCCATAAATATTAGTTAATGTGTGATGCATAAATCAATAACTAAAACTAAAGTGCCGATCATCCCATGCTACCATAGGATTTTTCAACAACATGACATATTGAGAAAAATCTATGTTAAAGCCGCCATTTCTTTATGGTTACATTAGTGTGGATTGTTCTTCTGATTCTTATAGGCCTGTCACCCTAGCTTCGATAGATTTATTTGATTTTGCAAGCTATGGCATAGGAATGTGATATGGGTCGTATCCCGCACCTCCCTTGATTCCGTGTGAAATCCATCCTAAAAAGCACGAGTTGGATCAGCGTAAAGAACAAGACGAACGTGGTATTATCTCTATTAGGACGGTTATGAGGCTCTGCTCTTTTTTTCTTTATTCAATATCTATTCTTTGTTTCTTATATTTCGCTAATTGTTATCTTTAATGTCTCTTTATGCTTAATATATAACTGGTGATGCTAGAGCTGTCAAGAAGGCATTGTTAGCAGTATCAACCATCATCTACAAATTCCCATCAAAAGAGACCATTTCTCTTGAAACTTCTGTCCCTCCAAGCATTGTACATCCTTCAGAGCTTCCTTTCTATCCTGCTAGTAACTTCTACTCAGTGTCAGATGCAGCTATACCTTATGGAATGGACATCCAAATCTAGCTATCTTAGCAAAGGAAGTGGCATTCAAATATACATGTTTTTCTTCTTTAGCCTTTTCGCCCAGCATTGTCATTATTGACACGTTTTTGCGATCCCTGTTTTTGAGATCCTCAATGACTACCACCAGAAAGGGAATGTGACCACCATTCTTATTTGAGAAAAGTGTCTCCACTATAGCACTAACGATCCTAGACAGTAGAGAAAGCATGATTGGAGCTAAGAACTATTTCTAAAGGATCCCTTCCACTCTTGTGTGGAAAGATCTTTCTTCGTTCAGTCCAGTCTGATTTAAAACGTGTTGTCTACTATTATACGGGCTGTCGTTAGGGTCACTCCTTCTTATGCCGGGAGATGGCAGTTATCTATATTTAGAAATAATAAAGAATATGGGTGTGATTGTCATCACAATGGAGTGATCGAGTAATCATCCCTGTAGGTTCCTCTCAATTTAGATAGACCCCATCAACATGGCCATTCCCTTCTCCTGGTAGCAAAAACCCATTAGAGGTTTGATTCTCAAAAGAAAACAAACCAGAAACTCGAAACTATTCCTACTCGTCAGGTGGCTTTATCAATTGGAGTTTAAAAATAGGGAAAAAAGGGTGTCAAAAGTAGAAGTATCATATCTTCTTAAGGAGCCCAACTCTAGCTAGAGAATAAGAGGATTAGGTTTTGGCAGGATGCAAGGTGCCAACTTATTAAGCACGAGAGTCGTAAGATCCCGGTTATAGAAGAAGAGTAGGCCAATCCCAATCTTAGGCTGCAACAAACAAGGAAATTCCTGTCATCAAATCGGCCTGATCCCCAAAAGGAAATTGCAATCCAAAATCCCTGTATACGATATACGATAGATTCCGGGCACCTTGCTAGATGACACTTGTCTCGCATTGCATTACTGACTGCTTCTTCTTCTGATTTCTTTGCTTTGATGATGCCATTGTCCTAAAGAGAGTTCTTCAGCTGAAGAGTACTTTGGCACCCTAGAACACATCTTCCTCTGGATGAAGCCAACAGGTCTCAGACAAGAGTAGTATCTGTGGCTTCATCGAAAACTATCAGCCAAAATCCAAATAAAATGCATCATAGACCCAGCATCATCCTTCACTGGGAACTACAAAAGCAACATCCAACTTCAACCTGGCGGCCTCTACACACAAAACCTATGATATATCAGAAAAGAAAACCTTTTTTACAGTATGGGAATTTGGCCCAATAGTCCCTCCAATTTGAAGTGATCAAGCCACCACTGGTACCAGTAGGGAACAGGTAGTACCACTTCCTCCAGCTCTAGCTGAGCTCTCCAGTTCTTCTCCATCAATGAGTTGCAATGGGAGCATCTCTACATCCTCTGGTAGAATCTGTGCAATCCAGGCCTTCTGGGAGATCATCCACCCGCAACTGCTTTCTCTCTTGCAGCTCTTTCATAGCAATGGCATTTATGTTTGGAGGCTAACCCAGGCATCCATCACTCTCCTCCCAAAGAAAAAATATGCCAACACCGTCGAGGATTTCAGGCCAATCAATATCATCTCGAGATTCATGAAAATCTTTCAAATAAGAGGAACAAACATTGTCTTTAACAACACTCATCCACTTATTGACATTGACACGTATCAATCGGCGTTTATCAAGGGTCGCTCACTCATAGAAACTTTCTTGGTTGTGACAGAACCACTTATCTTTCGCCACAAACATAAGATACTTATGGTCCTACTCAAGGTAGACTATCGCAAGTCATTTGACCGAGAAAGAGAAGAGTTGTGTCTTAAAGTAAAGACAAGGATGTGGAAATCCACACACACTTGTCTTTCAGGCCCAGCCCACCAGGGATTTCCAAATCGTTAGCGGCAGGTCTTTCTTCTTCTGGGCGAGCTGCGGAGCTACTTTTTCTTTCTTTCATTCCATCTGTCCCTGTATGCTTGGGTGAATGCCATAAGCGGATTTATATGCCCCGGTTCCCGGGGTTAGGGTATTCCCTATGTTGAGCCTACTCAGATCAGAACAAAACTTTTGGATTCTCTTTCGCCTGTCGGCCGGCTTTAAACAACCTTCACATTTCCTGCTGAGATCCCAAGTCTCCAAGTGGGCCCTCTTGGCCACCTAAGACCTTAGCTTTTAGAGAATCCCGCTCCTTTGTCATAGGACTTGTAGCTCGGCAGTCCATCGGATAGGTTTGTTTATCCTTCCTTTTTCGAGTGTCTTCTTGGATAGGTATAGCAGCCCATAGGCGCAAGATGTACCTTGTGGAGGGCAGCGGTCCCCTGGACATAGCATAGTCCTTTCAGGCAGTGGCCGTTTAGTCCATGGTCTGTTGGATGGTCAGTGCAAGGCCAGAAATTGGAACACATTGATTCCGCTCGTTCCTGTCCTTCGCTTCAGTGCCTGTCCCTTGGTGTGGTCAGTACTCCATAGTGTCGGGCAGCAAAGCTTACACTTGTTCACTTATTATGACGGTTCACCAGGGCGTCTTTCCTCCTCCCTTTTCTGCTCACTCGTAGGGGTCCAGACCCCCACAAAGGGGGAGGGAGTCGACTGAACATCTCAGCCATTGGCGGGAATTTCGCCCGCATCCGATCCCCAATTCTTGTTCACCCCGGATGACCTCGTACGATCGTATCGGGTGAGCAACAGCCGCTTCATCACAGTACTGACTTATGGGCTAACAGGTCACACTTTGGCCAAGTATCCTACAAAGAGACTCCCGAGAGCCAAAAGTATTAAAGGAATGGCCATAGGAATGGGCGCATCATGACATCATAATCTGTCTCGCCCGAATGAATTAGTTGGTACTAGAAATGTTAGAAATAGTAAAGGAAAGGAGTAATAAGAAGTGAAAAGGACAGAGACACTTCCCAACCAGAAAGCATAGTTCCCACTGATGGTATACTTTGTGTAAGCGAGCTCTAAGATCACATCTGAATAAAATCCTATTAGAAAAGGAAATCCAATAAGAGATAAGCTGCCCATGAGCATCATGGCATAGGTCAAAGGAAAGGAGGAGGCAAGCCCCCCCATCTTCCGCATATCTTGCTCATTCGACATGGCATGAATCACCCAACCCGCACTCAGGAAGAGTAATGCTTTGAAAAACGCATGATTCATTAAGTGAAAGACGCTAACCAAATAGTTAGTGATGCCGCAAGCAAAGATCATATAGCCTAATTGACTGCAAGTTGAATAAGCTATGACCCTCTTTAGATCGTTCTATAATATTCTAATGGTTGCCGCAAGGAATGACGTCATAGCTCCTGCAAAAGTAATAACAATCAAAGCCATAGGTGAGTATTCAAATAAAGGGGAGCACCTTGCTATCATGAAAACGCGAGCAGTGACCATAGTAGCTGCATGAATCAAAGCAGATACTGGAGTGGGACCCTCCATTGCATCGGGTAACCAAGTATGCAATCCTATCTGTGCAGTTTTCGCAACAGCACCAATAAAAAGTAAAATACAAATCAGAGTTATGGCATTCAATCTCATATTGCAAAAAATCCATTCATTTCTGGGAGCACTAGCACAAGCAAAAATGGTTGAAAAGTCTACTAGTTGAAAGAGAGTAAAACAACCAAAAATCCCATGAGCTAATCCAAAATCACCTACTCGATTGACAAGCATAGATTTTATAGCAGCTTTATCCGCCTGAAGTCGTGTAAACCAGAAATGAATTAACAAATATGAAGCAAGACCTACTCCCTCCCATCCCAGGAATAATTGAAGAAAGTTATCTCCATTCACCAATATTAGCATAAAAAAAAGTAAAAATGGATAAATAACACATAAATCAAGGGCTATGCGGATCCTCAGACATATATGAAATGGAATAAAGATGGACCAAACTACTTATGAATGTAACCCCAATTAACATGACTACGGTCAGGCTATCGAACATAGAGTCAAAAGTGAATTACGAGTCAGGCCAATCTGTGAATCGAGCGAGCTCCCCTTGCAATGATGTGGTGGTGAACCTTTCATTCGTCTTCAGTGCTCTCCGAACCGTGCGGGAAGGTTTCCCATCACACGACTCGCCAACTTGATCTTCTGTGGGAACCTTATGTAAGAACAGGCTTGGCAAAAGAAGTACGGTCTCGCTTTCCTTTGCCACTCAAGTGTACGGCATCTGCCGTGCTTAGGCCCCTTCTTCCCTTCCCTAATCCAAAAATGAGTCCACCGCCTACCTGGCACTATATGGGTATAGGTATGGTGTGCAGGCCAGCCTCCCTTGGATTTTAGGTGATTAACTACCGAAGCGAAGAAAAGGCTGGATCAAGAAAAGGGGGGTACTACGAGCCCTCTGCCCCACGCATCTAACCAGCTCGCGTGGTTCACTGGTTCCGCCGATGTCACCCTTAGATAGAGTTATTCAGTCGATACAGAGATGCGCTTAAAGTGGGGCGTGTGCTGTCCCTATTGGGCTGGGTCCTTCCCCATAAGGCCCCACCGTCGGGGCATAAGCGCCCTCTTGCTACCCTTATGCAAGGCGCCGTCTTAGCCTTGCCTTCCCAGGATCGCTCCCACACCTGTCACGTTCGTGATCGGCCTCCTCAATAGTGTATCGATCGAAAGGCAGGGCGGCGGAGCCCCCAGCCGACAGGAGTAGTTACGTCCAGTATGTCCCCCCTCGATTCCCAACATGCTATGATACCCCGGGGTGGGTAGGAGCAGGTCGAGTCCGTATCAACGCGGAACAACTGTAGCATCCGGATCTGATCTATCTACTCGGCAATTCATCTGGTGACTTCACGGTCGCCAAAGAAGCCCCAAGAAGCATCAAACATTTTCGATGAGATCCATGGAGCTATTCTGAGATAGCAAGCACTAGCTCCCAGTGCGACTTCATAAAAAGCAATCAAAGATAAGATCAAAGAAAATGAAACGCACGTGGTGGTCATTATAGCGGTTCCTTCAGATCCTAGAAAACGTCCGAAAAAACCGGCTATGGAACTACCGAGCAAAGGCAAAAAGACAATAAGTAGATACATAAGATCGAGTCTCTTAAAAAAAATAAGACAATGTTCAAGCGGACTGTCATTGAGACAAAAACATGTTAAGCATATAAGCACTTTCGACTTGATTTGCAGTGGTCAGTTACGCAAGACGGGAAGAGAGTTTCCTTCTTCAGAGTCCTTTTATCCCAATATTAAGGATAATGTGTGGGCCTTTACTGAAAGAAGATGGTTGATCCCCTTGCCGAGTCATTCCATCCTACCCCCGGTGGGTCGTCCTCTTATTCAGTCTCGCGAGCAAAGAAGAAGAGAGACAACATTCAAGCCAGCAATGGACTGAGGTATGAGACGATAAAGGTAAAGAGAAGGGGTCGTCGTTGGTGCATAACATATCTTTCCTATCTACGATCTTTCTCGGTCATAAGCGAGGCTTCGCAGTGCAAGTACCACATAAGCAATAAAGCCAATAGACCTTGAATAGCCTGTACGAAATAACTTGTGAAAAGGATTTACTAGAGTATAAAAATCTTGTACGCAAGTTGGCACAGTGCTTTCAATCAATCTCGCTCATCTGGTCTGCCCGGTCAAATCAGCGATCATGCCCCCCTTATTCTAGCGGAGGAACAACTTCATCAGATTCATTCCCTTGCTAATCCGCCTTCAAGCCTTGTTCCTTCTTCCGCTTCATCTATTGTAAAATTCTATATGCCACAAATAGAAGTAGAAAGAAATCCTAGCAGTCATTGAGATTGAATACAGAGGAAATCGCAATCCAAGTACCGTGAGAGCGAATTAATAGAGTCAGTTCAACTAAATGGTCAAAATCAGAATAAAGGAAGGTAACAAAATACTTCATTAGCAAGGCCCGTTTAATTAACAATTTGAGCTTTCTTTGCTCACCAGCTTTTTTCTGCGCCCCTTCACTCTCTTCTGAATGACTCCTTTAGCACTCTCTTTTGGTTGGTTACTTCATTGAAATAGAAAGTACATCTCTAAATCCCGGCTAACGCGAATCATTCAAAAACTACTACTTATTGGGTTGGGCAACCGACACGTGAAATCGATGTCGGGCTACACTTCCTTCAATTAATTGTTTAGGTTTACTTTGGCGGAGCATTCAATCTAGGTGTGGGAATCATTCCAACTTCATGTATTTGCGGCCCTAGCCTTTTGGGAATGTAGGTGTCCGCGAATGGAAGCTCGGCAATAGAGCAGACCGGAAGAAGTATGTACCTCATGAAGCAAGGACTAGCTAGAGCTCTTAGTATGGCCACTTTTGCAGGATGAATCCGTTCATTGCCTGCTTCTCTATCGCATTGGACCTAGAAAGAGTGCAAACAGGAAGCATAGACCCTTGAGAAATAGAGGAGCTATGAGTGTTGTCCACAACCTCTAATGTTCCAAAAGATATAATCCGTCACTTGCTCCAGAGACCTCAGTACTGTGCTAACTCCAATAATTTCCTTCTTTACTACATAAAGCATCAACTGCTGGATAGAAAGCAAAAGCATTTATTTATAGCTTACAGTTAGCTTTCACTTGATTTCTTTCTTATAAAATTACATTTTGTTGATTGTAGATTGGGTCGGTGTAAATAAAGGGTGAGCTCCAAACTACAGTGGGAAAGGCCGAGTATACACCAACCATAATTTGGAGTGAGAAGGAGATCCCAACTAACAAAATAAGGCATCTGATACTATGATGAAAAGTCCCGTTTGGTCACTTTTTAAAAAAAGGATGCATCGCTATTTTATCATCATCTGGCACTGCTTGACTTGCTTTCACAGCTTTTAGCTTGAACGTGGCACTAAAGCCTCCATGTGAACTAAAGAAAATAGTTCAAGACAGTAGAGCACAGAGGGAATTAGCAACATGGGTTCAACATTTCTTTTAGTGAATGCGGAGATAAAAGCAGCTGCTATTGATGTGCAATTGGACCGCTCACATCGCTCCTTGACACGAAGGCTATAAGAATCAAAGGAAATACTGGGCGTAAATGACTTTGGATTTCAAACCTGGCAAAGTCCTTACTTACTCCGCTCCAGGCCAAAGCGATGAAAAGACCCTTTATTTAATATGGCCACGCCCATGAGAGAAAGTCTAGCCCTATCAACACCTTCTGATCCTAGTTGCTTCGAGTAAGGCAGGCTACTTCTAAGCAATCTAGAGAACATTGAACCTCATTGAAAAGAAATAAATTCCGGCCAACATAAAGATCCAGCAACCTTTTGCCTGACCTTGGCTCTGACGCATTCCTCCTAGCCTAGATTTTTACTACATTCTTTGGGATCAATGCCTACTTCTTGAACTTGAAATACATGTATCCCTTCTTTGATAAGTGGAATGTTTCGCTTGAGTGTCTACTTTGGAGAAACCCTTGTTATCTATGCTATGTATTTGTGGCCTAGCCCTCTATAAGGCACACATTTTTCATACGTGAGGCTATAGAAGGAAAGCAACAATCCTGGAGGAGGAAATAGTTCACTTGTTGGGCACCTGGGCTCCCTATTCGTAAATTCACTTACGTGACGAGCAATTAACAAGGCGCGCTGCGTTTGAATGACATGTTATATGAATAATATTGCTGCTGTGTCGCAAGTCTCAGTCTTCCAAAATACGAGACGTCTATGGACAGAGATACCAGGTAAACGGAGTGCCAGTGATTGCCTTGGTTGATAGTGGCAGCACACACTATTTTGTAGACCCCGAAGACTGTGAAGCGGGCTGGTTACGACTCAACTCCGTATAAACCTATGGAAATCATAGTAGCAAATGGCTCTAAGATGTATTGTGAGCACAAATGTGATGGCATGCTATGGGTAATGCAAGGGAAGGAGTTTCAGTGTGACATGAAAGTCATGGAGGTAGGTTCGTATGAGGGGGAGATTGGATTTTGTTGCTATAAGAAGGAAGGGCCAATTATTTTATCAACCAGTGCACCATCCATAACATTGGTCAAGGAAGGCAAGAAAGTAGTTTGAAAGGGAATTCAGGATCAGACAAGGAGGTCAGTAGAAAGAGGAAGGGTGCAGTTACAACAAGGAGAGATTTGTATGCTCGTGCAAGCTTTTCCAATGAATGCCACCAGCAAAGAAACCCGAATACCTAATAGTTTGAATAAGTTACTTACCTAAGACTCTAACATTTTAAATGAGCCAAAAGAGTTACCACCAGACCCATGATCATGTAATACCTCTTCTGGAGGGAGCTGAGCCGATTAATCTCAGGCCATATAGATACTCGCACGATCAAAAGGCAGCCATTGAAAAGTTGGTCGATGAAATGCTAGCAGCTATTAGGCCAAGCTCAAGCCCTTTGCCCTTTTCAAGTCCTGTACCTATAGGTAGGATGGTGGGAGTTGGTGATTGTGTATAGACTACAGGAAACTAAATAGCCTTACCATTAATAGAAATATCCCATTCCTTTCATGGATGAACTCTTGGAAGAGGGCAGTCCCAAATTAAAAAAAAGCCATTTATCGATCCCAAGAAGCAAGTGAATTAGTTTTATTGCTTTTCTTCCTTTAGCTTCTGTTTATTACAAGCACATATTTTATAGTATTATTTGAGATGCTGGAGTAAAAGGGAGTCAGAGGTAAGCCCTAGCTAGCCGCCCCCCTCTTCGCCAGTGTGCCACCATTCCTTATTCATACTATACTTCACTTGTGGTGCCCCACACTTGTTTCTTTGGATCCTTAACTTAAAAAGTAAGCACCTCCCCTAACTAATTAGTTAGTATCGAGAGACTAAAAATCATTAAAGTTGAGAAACATAGGTACTCTTGCCGATGGAAGAAATTTCATAA